GATTTTATGTGTACTCTAGTAGCATCTGCACCACCTATGAAAATATAAATAGTTTTGAATCAGATAGACTACCATGGAATTGTCTAATACATTATCCTTAGTTAATCATTTCATGTTTTAAAATGGGCTTAAGGGGAGGCCAGAAGCCTAGTGAGAGGTACTAACACATGGGAACCACATCTGGCTCTTGAAGCTTGAGATTATTAGGTCTCGCATACACATTCCCCATCCTTAGGCTATACCCCAGGCACCCACTTTAGGCTGCTTGTCAGAGACATTGTATGTTCTGGCCACGTGGGTCAGAACAAAGATCCATTTTTTGCTGCATTTATGTTCTTGGGGCTATGAATTCCTGATACTTAATTATGTAATGCAGCTTTTCAGCCAGTTGTGCTACCCATTGTATAGACTAAATAATTGTATTTAAAAAAAATATGAAACTGGCATTTGAAACAAAAGGTTCATATTAGTCTGTCTTTTGCTTTTTCCCTGTCCCCAGCACATGCTCGTTTAAGAACACTGGGACGTGTGACATGATTCCCACTGCTGGTTCCACGCCAGTGGGTTTTTTCCAGGAACTGAAGTTAGGCTGATTTGCTCTAACATTCTTTGGTTTCTCTTCTTCCTTGTTAGGCACCACCCTTTTATTTCCTTCCTCACCTTTACAAATCCCACCTACACTGCAGAATTCTAGGACACAATTGTGCACTGCGCCGGTGACTTCACCGAGGTCCTGCGCTGCGCTTCCCTGGGAGATATGCAGCTGCCTTGTTCCAGATGGCTGCCTTGAAAATAACCTACACAGACCCCCATACTGACAACGTGGCCATATTTTTAGCACCCAGAAACTTTTAGCAGGACCATGCCTTACTGCAGGGAGTACCACTTGGCTACCTAATTCTGTCACATTTTCCAAATTAGAGAAAAGATTTAGAAATGCTGCAAGAAGTATTCTGAGTTTCATGCTCCCACTGTATGCAATATAGCTTGTGTTACTATATATACTGTATCTTTCTTGCATATAGAGATAATTGCTTATAATTTTTCAGGTAAAACCATAGCCACAACCTGTTACTGTAATCTTAACAGTTCAATCAGATTACAAGATAGAGAAACTAATAGACAGTTTGATTGCCAGATTGAAATGGAAATGCCTAGAGCTCCTCTCCTGCTACATTTTCATCGCTTGTAACCTCCCACCTATCTCTGCTTTGTTACAGAGATATCACGAGGCAATACTCCCCTAGTTTTCTTGAAGACTGCACCATTTACCTTAGTGTTCTTTGCCAAGTGAATAGTGACATCCCGTTGTCTTTAAATATTTGTGCTGTTCAGTGTGATTCTTTTACAGCATGACTGGCACTACACCTCCCTGCCACTTTTTATCTACATAGTTAAACATAAGTGGTTTATTGTATAATTTGCCTAAACATCTGCAGTACAGTTCCTGGCACACGGCAAATAATTATGTGAAAGATGGCTATCAAAACAAAGAGTAAGAGAGAAAGCTGCACAAACAAGTAAATGATTAGAAGTTCAGCCATTTGATACAAGAAAAATAGAAGAGGCATCTTTCAATTATTATTTCACAAGAAATCATTTCCTCCTGTAAAAAGTCATTTGTTTAGCTGTTTTTCCAACCACACCACATTGCATCAAAACCACTTAATTCACTTGCTATTTACAAATAACACTGTATGTGAAAGCCAGGATTTATAAATATTGGTGAACCCTTGTTTTAATCGAGAAGCTTCCCTAGACCAACATCTTCAAATGATGCAGGCTTCACAGAATTTCTGCCAGGCTGAAATTCAATTACTTGAAATAGACATAACTCAGAAAAAGACCACTGAAATTGTAAATACAAAGCGCTTGAAATAACAGCTTTTTAAAAATTACTTCCTGCCTTACAAAGAACTGAATCTACAGCTAAATCTTAGCATTAAGATGAGCTCATTATGCACAAACCTCTCTTTCCTCCATATAACTATAGAGAGAGGAGCAGCAGACCTTTTTGTTGTTCATTTACTTTTAGGATAAAAAATAATTTTCAGTCTTAGACTCCTTAGCTTCTCAAGAGTGAAAAAAAAAAAAAAGAAAGCAGTGATAAGATCTGCATGCTTTATGGAGTTCAGAGTTTTATGGTTGGTTTTAGTCACATGTAGGGGATGACAATATTTGTGGTTCTGCCTTCAGAATAGGTCTTTTGATGCACTAGAACATCAGTTTGGTATTTTTCAACATATATCACACTGCTGTTGTATATAAATCTACCAGCAAAGTTTTCTTGTGTTTAGGTCTAATATTTATTTAGTCCTGCTTGCTAAGTTGTTTAAGTTCAGAAGAAGTGCTAGAATGAACAAAACTTCTGAAAGGTTATCACATTATCAGCTTTATGAGTCTCCCTCTGCAGTACCAGCTCCTAATGAGAAGGTTTTATGCTAATTTATGAAAGCCTCAGAACTATTGAGGAGAACACTGCTGACCTGTAGCAGGCAAACTTATTTCATCTATAATACATAAAAGATCAGAATTTCCTATTGCAGAAACTATGCCAAGTATGCAGCTGGGAATAGAAAACTAGCTGACTAATGTGTTGTTAAAAGACAACTAACTTAAACTTCCAAAAGTAGTTTAATTAGAGATTAAAATTATTAGGCTGTGATAAAAAACGGTTATTAACCTGAACTTAAAAGACATTTATAAAGAGATGAAACTAAGATAATTGCCCTTGTAGCAAAACCTTGAGATTCTGAAGCATAATTTCTGTTTCACTGCTTAGTTCATCTTGTCTTTGGTCAGAAAACATGTTGCTACCTACAGCTGTCAAATTGAGCAAATTATCAAATACAAAGACTAGCCTGAGACATGGTCAGTGAAATTGAAAAGTGGATAGATGGTGGCCAATATAATAGCTTTGACAAAAGTATTTCAGATATAAAGAAAATAGCTTTTCACATTTTCTTTCTGGATTTAATCAGTACCAACATAGTTTGATATTATAATAGTTATTGAAAACAACTTAGAAGATACCCTCATATTTAAGAATAATGTTTAACCAACAGAGATTAGGGTGAACATTATGGGGTAAATGCATGCAGTTTGCAGCAAAGCTTTTCTGATACTAGTAGCAATCAGAATCAGCGTAGCAGAGAAAGATAGGCCTTGGGTATTTCACTGTCCTCAGCAAACCATAAACTTGTAAAAGAAGCAAATGTATCTTAACTGGTGCATCTTTGTAAAATGTCCTCACTTTAGAAGTAACTGCTTGTTGGATTTCACAACAGGTGCAAGGAGCAAAATGGTGGCAACAGATTAGGTTTACAGGCAGTGCTAGAGGAAAACAATGCTGTGATTGCAAATACATAAGGGAATTTTTTGCCAGTTTCTAATTTGTTAGAAGAATTCATTGCTAACTTGTTTTCTGTATTAATACCAAAATATAGTGACACTTCAAGTCTGCTAGAGCAATTTATTAAAAACTGCACTTTTAAACTGGGACACTTGTCAAATGCAACAGATTGAATAGCTGACATTTCCCAACTTTAACCTCTAAAATACAGACGTGCAAACAAGTTTACTTCAGCATAATTCTATATCCATACCAAAATGGTCTCTGACATTGTCTGTAATGTAATTTTTTTTCAGTACCAAGGAAGTTTGTATTTGCTAGGAAGCTTGTTTGCTCAATGACTTTTTTTTTTTGAAGAGCTTTAAACCTTGTTCAGCATTTTTATAAACTCTAAGTCACCCCAACTGTGGTTCAGGAAAACAAGCTACTTATAATTGATGTTTTCAACATGAATCTTAAGCAGCAAAGACCCCTTAACATGACCTTCCTGAGTTATAATATATCAAGATGGTGATACATTACACAGGTAAGTGACATATATGTGTATATAAACACTATAAATATATATACAGTGCACCAACTAGGGTCAAAAATCTTTTGCAGCTATCACTGTCAGTTATGGTAGAAGCAAAATGATCAGGATTCACTAACAGAGAACTGGATCTGCCAAACATTAAAATAAAGTCTGACACAATAGGTGCGCTTTTACTGCTTTCATTTTTAATAGTGCAAAAAAAAAAAGTCAGTAGTTTACTATTTTAAAATACTCCTAATTCTAAAAATATTTCCATTTGGAACCAAAAAATGCAGTATCTGTTTTTTTGCTAAAAACATCAGTTAAAATATTTGAGGCCAAATAAATTACTATAACATTTTTGTGGAACTGAATTATAAAACTAGTACTCGTTTATACAACCTTAAGAAAAAAAAAATCTTTAAGAGATCCTTTGCCTTTATAGAAGAGCATATGGGCAGTGTGTATAAACCAAATATAGCAAGTCCATTTGGAGCTCAAGCTGTACAAAAGTCAATATGTGCTAGTAATTCTCTGTGCTGGCTTGTTGGATACTGCACTTTACATCTTGGACACTCAAGAAAACTTTCATCAAGAATGCTTGAATGTTTCAGGGGAGGACTTCTGTCATACATGGTCAGCTTTTCCAACACAGCTTGCAAATCTTCTTGTAGTTCCTTACATCCAGATTCCTGGAGATTCTGGAAAAGGAGAAGTTTTAGTGTAAGATTAGGGCACTGATCAAATACTGTAGGAAAAAATACTAAGACTTGATGGCACACAAACCTTGTGTGTGTTACAGCACTAAAAGTAGAATTTTAAGGATGGCTGAATGCAGTGCTGCTACTTGTGCTAATAACAGAGCCTGTTTTACAATTCGAACACCACATTTAACTCAGATTGCAGGTAGCTTTTCTGCAGACTATTTAAGACAGGTTTCCTGCAGTGCCTGACTGGGAATCCTTCCCCAACCATCTTCCTAGCCACTCACACACCATCTTTCCTTAATAAAATGGTGCCTCAGTCCCCTCTAGGTAGGATGCTGCCTAGTTACCTTCTCAAAAACTCTGCTGTGATTTTATCTTCTCCTCCTGATCCCATGTGTGCAGTTTCCATGTGTGAAGGCTGTCCTTAACTGTAAAAGGCACCCAGTTGTCTATTTGGCAGCTTCTCCTTCAGCTTCTTAGCATAGAGAAACTCAAAGCTGTAACTTTCCTGCTCTGCCTGAACTGCTCTGCTCCCAGCAGACAGAAGGGTTTCCAGTGGCTTCCCTTGGCAGCAGCAGCAACAAGCAGAGCGCTCCCAGGAGCAACACATGAATGTGTTCAGTATCTCAGAATTCATTCCATTCCCTTCTTCATTTGAGGAAATACTTCAAAGTTATGTACAACTAAGAGGGAGAGCAGTCTGGCAGAGTCACAAAAAATTCATCTCATCTGCAGCTTGTTACGAGCTTTTGGATTTGTCTTCTCTGTAAGAAGCACACCAGCCCCAGACCTGATCTAATGAAGGACATAAGTATCTGATTTCCATTTTGAACCTCATTCAGGTTTAGAAATGCAATTTTGACAATCCTATTCAGCTATTGCCTAATCTTACAAGATACCTTATTTTAGAGTACCAGAAGCACCAACAGTCAAAATGCATTTCTGCTCAAGTCCAGGACAATCCTGGATGCAACAGACTGCAACAGATGAATGGCTTGCTTAATACTTGATCCTTCCCTACAAATCATTTCTCCATTAAGTCTAGGGCTCAAATCTAGGTGGCTTTCTTCGGGCTTATCTAATAAGCAGCAAACAGACCATGGCCCTCACAATACAACAAAATGTGCTTTTTCACTGTAGGAGGGAGCTTGTCTTTTTGGAAGAGAAAAATCCAGGTTTTAATGACCCACCTATCCTGTATCAAATGGAAGTGGGGGAGGAATTCAACTTCTATATTTAAGCATTGTGAGCTGTTCGCTAGCAGCAAGTCTGCACAGAAGCACACTGCAGCTTTGTCATTGTGCAACAGCAAAACTAGATACACACTGTGATACAAAATACAGTTACGTACCCTGCTCAGGAACCTGGCTATTCTGGATCTCCTTCTGCAGTACTAGTTCTCCACTGTAGAGAAAAATCATGCCTAGCTAACTGGCATGGGGCTCTGCACCTTGGATGTAAGCGCTGTAAGGTTCCGCACTTGGAGGATAGAACAGCCTACAGTGAATATCTGATGACATTAACAGAAGACTCACTACACTTCTATAAGATTCCAAAGTGAAAATATGTACATTTATGCAAAATCTCTGACTAAATTCACCTGCAAGCTATTCAGTACATACCAGAGGTTCCAGACGGGTTATTTGCTCCCTGGCCTTCTGTAGCTCCTTAAGGACTTTATTTAACTGATGCTGCAAGTTCTGGTGATCAAGCTTTTCATTCTCAAGCTCTGTGGTGCATATCTGGATCTGGCAACCCCCCAAAGGGAAAATTAAAGAATTAAAGTCAGAATTATTAAGAATTGACAGTGAGGGGAGAAGGATGGGGGAGAGAGAGGAAAAAAATTTCCCCCATGTATATCTAAAATTTTATTGTGCTATCATATCCTAAAATTGGATTAAAAAAGAAAAAACACTTGTTGCTTTCAGTACAGTGGAATTCTTACATGCCTAGTTATGAAAATCTTCTCCATTAGTAGAGGTAGAGTTTTAAGTTATTTTGGTTGGAGGATGTCAAGCTGTCTTGCAATCTTAAACTGAACATTTTATAGAAAGGCACATAGTGCAAGTTCTCATTAAAAATGCCAGTTTCTATTCCAGGATCTTTCTTGTAGCAAGACAATTTGGACAGAAACTATGGGTAAAACTACACTTAAGCTTAGCAAATGAATGTAATTTTTTTTTTTTTTTTTTTTTTTTACCAATAACAATGGTTAGATCTGTAAGAATATACTTGGGGAAAAAAAAGATTAAAAAGATAGCAATGCAATTATTTGTATAACTTTGTCCAGAGTATATTACAGAACTTCAGTGAGCTGATTGATTTTAGGATGTTTCCCATACCTAATGTGGTTACGTTTCCCATACCTAATCATAGCTGAGCAAGTGATTGTGGAGAAAACAGCATCAGGTTTGATCACACCCTCTTATCTCTAAAAGGTTACAGATTTTCCCCTTGACAGATGCATCAGCATTTTTAGAAGCATCAAGAGAGTATTCACAGTTTAATATTCATGTCTAGTATTACTCTATTTCATATATTACTCATTCTTAAACTTGAAAAGTTAGTCTAGAAAGCCTTTGTACATAATACAGATTAAGTATCAGCATCATGGCGTATAATTTGGTACCTGTTGTTCCAACAAAGCTATCCTGGTGTGTTGCTCCTGCTGTTTGAGCAATGATTTATGAAGAAGTTGCACCTACAAGGCAGAAAAACATTTATAATAAAAACTTCCATATGTAACAGTTAATAAGCTTAAATAATGGAACTAAAAAGGGATGGAGGTAAACTTTTATATTCCAACACCAACAGAAAAAAATGTATGCCTGTTATGCAACAGCAAAACCCAATTCAAATATCTCCACTTCTCTGGGAAAACCCCAGGGAAACAGTGTCATTGCACTGAGCAGGGGAAATGCAGGATGATGTTATAGCTCAAAAAAAAAAAATCAAAGTAAATTAAGTGATTGCTGAGTTGCAGGCAAAAATATACACACAAAACCTATGTTTGCATTCATGGTGCCATAATGTTAAAAAAAAATACTGTTCTTAAGTAGAAGAAACAAGATTCAAAGTACTATACTATAATGGATTAAGTAAACCTAAAAAAACCAGTAAAAATATCCTCTGTTACCAGCATATATCAATTTTTATAGTGAATGCTGTTGTTCAGCTAGGGTAAAAAAACCAAAACCAACACAAAACCAAAACCTTTTAATCATTATTAACCAGTGAGAACCAGCCTATGATTAGAGAGCTAAACTGTTGTCCTGGTTTTATCCTGCTTTGGTGCCTAGTAAATTGTATTTTCATTCTTCAGACTTCAGTTCCACATTGCTTTGATATCGACCACAAACTTCTCCAAGTAGCAAGTCTATCTTATTCGTATGCCCTGAGGACAGTCCTTCAAGGAAGACTTCCCAGTTTCTGTTCCGCAGACACCTGGTCATGATTTCATGTGCAGAAGAAATAACAGATTTTTTTGTTAGCATCACGATGCTTATAGGAATATTCCAAGATGCCACTGTAGCTCTCCATGTAGGGGAACTGGCAGAGTCCTCATGGGTATTCCAAACAAAAAGAGGTAAGCACTGAATATTTTAAAATACAAACATATAGCACAAAGATGTCTTCCTCTGCTTCTCATCAGCCAGAGTGGTTAAAGTAATTGGGCGCAAAAAAAGAAGGGAAGAAGAATTAAGAACTTCACATATGAACAGAATTATTTCACTGAAGTCACAGTGCTCTCTGGGAGATGGGCAAGCCCTGTGAACAATTAGAATCTGATGCAAAAGCAACAGAACAGACCTGGCAACAGCATACACCACACCTAGTGAACAGCCTGCCTGACAGGCGCTTCTTAGGCATTATAGGGAATTACAGAACTCTGCTTGGTGGTTTCTACCATAGCTGTCTTCAAGATAGTGACAATTTAAGATCCATCCTTTCCCTTGCTTATCTGGCCATTGCTCTCTAGTGCTCAGGTGTGCCTGCATGGTTCTCATCCATAGCATCATATTAGAGAACTAATGCAAGAACTCAATCTGAATGGAAAAACAAACAAACAAAAACCCCAGCTGCGTGGCCACAGCGGTTGTCTGGGAACACAATCCAGGGACACAGCTGCTTATCCAGTAAATAGGAAGCTATAAGCCCACAGGCGTATTTGTAGCATCCAGGTGACAGCTTATATCAGTGATATTCCATACTTAGGACTGCATGATAAAATAGCCTGTATGGACTTGAATTTTTACCTTTCCTGTTCTCATTTACTATTAACCTTGAGAATTAACTAGATTAGAATCACTTAAGTATTCTTTCACTTCTCCCTCTTGTGCCCACAAGACCAGGGAAATAAGTGAACAAATAAGTTCCTTGTTTAAATGATGAAATTCCAGAAAAATTTTGGATTTTGATTCAAATCAGTATATTAAAGAAATAATTCAGTTTTAGCCACAGGACATGAGTCTAGATATATGTAAAGTACAGTTACCAGAGCGAGTGAGTGGTGGTCCATTCTGATTAAGTATGACTTTTCAGTTCTCTTGGTTCTTTGCTAATGATCTTAAACCTCCAAATGCAGCCACTTACCTGACATAAAAGATTGTCAGACTTTTTCTTTTCTTCTCTGAGCTGTCCTTTAATAGTTTCATTTTCTTGTTTTAGTTCCTGCACTTTCTCTCCTTTTATTTTATTTTCATTTTCTAGAGTCTTCATTTCAGCAACCTGTTGTGAGTGCATTAAGGCATTTAAACTCATTATTTCTTGTTGTGTTTCTTCATACTTTGTTTTGAATTCGTTAAGTTCAGATCTCAGCTGGGTTATAGTCCATCTTTCAATCTCAAGGTCGCTCTTAGCCTTTAGTAACAGCTGGTCATAATGTTGTTGCTTCTCCTCTTGTAGATAACCTTAATGAGTCAGAGATAGTAAAGTGGGAGAGAAAGAAAATCACTTAAAAATCAGAACACCAAATCCTTGACAACATTTTAAGGCAATTGATAGAAATTGACATTCTAGGCTATTACACAGCTCAGACTGGCACCAAACTTTAGTTAAAACAGCTTTCAGTACTTCCAATGCAGTACAGTCTCCTTCCCAATAGTTAGTGGAAAACTGCAACTTGGCTTGCAGACAGTATTCTGTTCTACAGCCACTTCCTTCTCCAACCCTTACAGCAGTATTACAGCCTTTGCTCCGGCTACACAAGCTCGATGACCCACACGTAGTCCTTACATAGCCTCATGACACACGGGAATCCAGGCCCAGAGGCACTAGGCTCTCACTTCCAGATTTAGGCTCCTTATCCAAGGTTCCGGCATTACTCCCTCCCCAGAGATACCTTGGGGATCTGATGGGCTCTTGTTGACCAAAGCCAGTCTGCAAAAGACAATGAATGGTCCATCTTCTTCAAATTGTATGCCATCATTTACTTCTAAATTGCAAATAAAAGGGACTAGAATAGGGGGGTTTTAATTAAAAATGCCTGTTTCTTAGCTAGTCACTGTTACTGAAACCAGAGTTTGAAAAATTATGCTTGTTGACTCAAGAAAGGTTTAGTAAGTAGGAGAAAAAAAAATAAAGAGGCAGTCTGGAGAAATTCAGTAATAATACAAAATATACCTCAAAGCAGAACAAGGAAGCAGAATTTCACAGGCTTTGCTGATTTCTGGCAGTGTAAATTTCTTGACTTTGATAGTTTTCCTATTGAAGGTTTCCCCCTAACATGTAATTTACCAGGGAAAGTTTCTTGCCTGACTGTTCTCATTCCCCTTGACTATGAGCTGAGCCTTACCTTCTCGTTAGCAATACTTCTTTATAGGGCAGTGAGATCTTCAGAGAGATACCAAGTTTTTCCCTTGGAAAAAATTATCTACTTTCAACTTGTATAGTTGGGTTCTTGGAAACTTGGATTTCTGCTACCGTCTAGCTGCTAGAAGAGGGGAACCTTGTTATACCCTTACTCCTAGTCTCCTGGCTGCTCTGACGACAAAGCCTTGACTGTAGTAACTGAGTTACATTTCCTGGTGAGCTACTTCAATCTGCCTTCCTCTAAAATACTGTTCATAGGTTTCTAAACAGCACCAAAACAAGATTACAATATTTTACTGTTTTCCATAAAGATTCAAGCAGCAATTCAGAAACCAAGCCACTGCACATGAATTACTAAGTGGTGAGTATCTGTGGGCACACTCTTACTCCAGATGATGCTAGTTCTATTTAGTGAACTTACCCTGCAGGTCAGTTGCAGCATATATGAAATTAATAATTTTATAATAAGTAAATCAAGTCACCTCTTTCTGGTTCTTCTGTTCAACATAATTTTAATTTTACTCCACATGCTGGTTGGGCACAACTCATGTCAATCTGAATGCAAGCTACTGAGAGGGTGCTCATTATTGATGAACTACATAGCACCAAAGTGAGCTAGAGGCAGCCAGATCCATATTGCGAAATGCTGTTTTGGATAGGTGCCAAAACTTACCACAGGTTTTCATGCCCTGTAAGTACTGGGCAGGTAAGTAAAGAACATGGCAGTCTTGAGTCATTTTTATAATATTTATTTTGAAAAAAAAAAAGTTTAAAAACCTGATCCACACCTAACTAATAAATCCTTAATGCTTCTCTTATGTAGGTTGAAAGTGTACTTTGAAGGATGGGAGACATACATATATTTGCCTCCACACTTTCCGCAAACAGAGAGGTTGCTAATAGAGTGTCAAAGCTGTTAAAAATCCATCTTTGAAGTAGATAAGAACATGAACTACTGTTGATCAAGTAACGTAGCTAGATAACAGGAAGCAAAGAAATTTTACTTAACCAAGTTTTACTATTAAACTAAAATGTTGAGAAGAAAGTCTTGATTTCGTGCAATTGTGCTATAATTTGTTTTCAGGAAACATATTCTATAATTATGGTTTGGGTCACTTCTGGAAAAAAATAAAGTTGATACCTTCTGAATTGAATTCTTCAGATTCTTGTTGGCGAACTAATTCTGACTTCTGTTGAAGTTCAAAGATCCTTCCAAGCAGTCCCCTGACATACGCTTCACGTTGCTGGTCATACAGTAGCCACTGTTGGTTTTTCTCAAGAGCCTTCATGAAAAGGAACATAAGAAAACCAAAAAAGCCTCTAGTAATTTATCAGATTTTAAAGGTGCTAGTCATCTTAAAAATGTTAAAAGTTACACAGTTTAAAGATAAGCTAGTTAATTCTACTGCAAATTGTAGTAATTTCTCTGTACAATAAATAAAACCCATCTTCATTTGGAAAGATAAGTCAGGTTTGCTGAGCATAAATTAAAATTGCAGCAATATTAAACACCGATTGGCTTATTTAGTGGAATGGGAAAATGACTTAAAAACAGAGGCTTTCATGAGTCATGCCCAGATTATAAATAATTAACCTTTCAATCTCAAATATAAAATAACAGATCTTGAAAATGTAATAAACTAAGACTGTATCATTGCAACAAGGTTTGTAAGAACAAGGACATAGATTTTATATCTGATCGGATCATAGACTTATTCAGGTTGGGTTGGAAGGGACCTCAGGAGGTTTCTAAAGCAACCTCAGGCTATCCCAGGCAGCATCAGCTCTTAGGTCAGACCAGGTTACTTGGGACTTCTGTTTTGTCAGCAACCACTTTGTTCTGATGTTCCAAGCAAGGTTTTTCAAAGATGACAGAAATACTGTCTTTCCTTTTTTTGAGAGTCCTTTTTAAATTTAAATTATTGTCCTGTCACAAAATAATTTTATGTATTACATTTTAGAGAGAAACATACCCTGAGCTCCCATACTACCCAAAAGCATATATGGTAATAATTCACATTCTTATGCATCTTGATACAGATCATTTATACTTGTAATGTTGTACATGAAACTTACATCTTTCAGTTGTTTTTCAACTTCATAAAGATTAGTTGGTGATCCAGTGCTGTTTGTTACAGTTTCCTGCAGACAAAAAACAGCCTCTTAGTGTTCTTTAAAACAGATGGCTGAAACAGTAAAGCTAGTCCTGTATTACTATTAATCTCACATAAATAGCATCAGAACATTTTAAAAATGGAAAACGTGCATACTTTTGCCTTTTGCATTGAGAGATCTTTATAGTCTTTTTTTTTTTTTAAAAGGGATCTAAGTTATGTAGAAAACCATTTCATAGATTTAAATTAAAATCTCCTGGAAGACACAGGAGAAAGACTACGATTTATTTATTCTATAACTCTGCAACTCATAGTTATATTAAAACATTTCCTAATAAGAATATCATGCGTCTTCTGCTGAACTACTATCTTGGAAGACCTGAAGGGTACAGGAGACCTGAAAAAACTGAGATACTTAGGGTACTATTTAAATACACAAAAAAGGTGTTTGTTCTGTTTCCATACCCTCATACACTTGACAATAAGCTAGACCTATAAGAGTTGTTGGGGAAAGCTGGAGAACTTGACAACTTCAGTGGGATAACAGGAGGGTTGTAAATATCTGGGAAACTATGCAAGCCTGTCTGGAACCAGGAACCAGGACACAGTAACTGTTTTTCTGAGACCTAATCCACAGTAAAGTGCTCAAAGTAGGAGTCAGAGTTCTTTAGACCCATCTAAAACTGAACAGCACTTACACTTTTCCATTAGCCAACACGTTTATTCACTGCACAATAGAAAGCTCTTTGAAATCGCATAGATATAAGTCAGAGGGATCTTTAAGGAAATGAAAATGTAGATTACTGCCCAAAGCCAAGCTACATTTTTCCAAAGTTTTCTTTTGTTTATTGGAACATGATTTTGAACAAGCTTTATAGCTGAAAAAATACAGGAGATCTTTGAATGCAGCTATTAAACTTTAGCACTTCCTAATAAAAATAGGATTTAGAGACACTACAATTGCTCAGATTCCTATTTCTATAAACATTAGAACTCTGTACCAGTGAAAACTCTCAAAATTGTGTTATACAATTGTTTTTTCCATTTCAGAGTATACCTGCTGCTCATATGCCACCTAGCAGTTTCAAGCAGCATTGCTAGACTTGTATCCAGGTTTTCCATGACATCGAGTCAAAACATCAGTTAAATTTTGTTGTTCTCAGTTGATAAATCAGTAAAAAATTTTTTTTAAAAATCTGATTTTAAAATAAGATATTTTGGTAGTTCATTAACAAAAATACCATGGAAATCTGTTGAATTCACATACGTTTTAAATTCTCTAACGAAGTTCAAATTCTCTTGAAGATAAACACATTACATTTAAACTGGTATTTCCCAAGATACTCCATTATTAGAAGTGACACACGTACACTATAATTGAAAATTAGTAGATTAAGAGATTTTGCTTTGTGTTGTCTAAAGCTGGATTTCTAGAGATTGCTCAACTTCCCTATAGAGCATGTGGAACCAGCACCACGTGCAGGTCAAAAGCTGGAAAAGACTTGTAGGCACCTCTTTTGGGCACCAGCTTCCCTGTGCCCCTTATTGAGATATTACTGCGTTTTCCATCAGAACATGGCAGGGGTGGAAAAACAACTGTAGAAATACACTTGTAAAAGCTGCAAAGTACTCAGCACCGTACCTATTAACCAATTTAAATGGGAGAAGCAACTCATTATTTCTGTCCTATCTTCTGTCACATTGAAGTATTTACCATGTGTGATGCCATGTAAAGTACAGGGGACTAGTTTTAACAACCAAGGAGCAAATAAAGATTCCTAAGAGCAGGAAGCAGAAAGATACTCTCAGAGACCAAAAGGGACCTTTAAAGGTCCACCTAGTCCAACCCCCCTGCAGTGAGCAGGCACACCTTCAACTAGATGAGGTTGCTCAGAGCCCTGCCCTACCTGGCCTTGAATGTTTCCAGGGATGGGGCATCTACCACCTCTCTGGGTAACCTGTGCCAGTGTTTCACCACCCTCACAGTAACAAATTTCTTCTTTATATCTAGTCTGAATCTCCCCTCTTTTAGTTTAAAACCATTACCCCCTGTCCTAACGCTACAGGCCCTGATAAAAAGTCAGTTCCCATCTTTCTTGTAGGCCCCCTTTAAGTACTGAAAGGCCACAATAAGGTCTCCCCAGAGTCTTCTCCAGGCTGAACAACCCCAACCCTCTCAGCCTGTCCTTATAGGAGAGGTGCTACAGCCCTCAGATCATTTTTGTGGCCCTCCTCTGGCCCTGCTCCAACCGGTCCATGTCTTCCCTATGCTGAGGGCTTCCAAGCTGGATGCAGTACGCCAGATGGGGTCTCACCAGAGCACAGGGGCAGAATCATCTCCCTTGACCTACTGGCCATACTTTTGATGCAGCCCAGGATACAGTTGGCCTTCTGGGCTGTAAGCCCACATTGCCGGCTCATGTCCAGCTTTTCACCCTCTAGTACCCCCGAGTCCTTCTCTGCAGGGCTGCTCTCAATCCCTTCATCCCTCAGCCTGTACCGATACCAGGGGTTGCCCTGACCCAGGTGCAGGACCTTCCGTTTGGCCTTGTTGAACCTCATGAGTTCACACAGGCCCACTTCTCAAGCTTGTCCAGGTCCCTCGGGATGGCATCCCATCCCTCAGGTGTGTCAATTACACCACTCAGCTTGATTTCATCTCCAAACTTGCTGAGGGTGCACTTGATCCAACTATGTAATGGATGAAGATATTAAACAGTACTGGTCCCAATACAGACCTCTGAGGGACACCACTTGTCACTGATCTACATCTGGACATTTTACCACTGACCACTACCCTCTAGATGCAACCATCCAACCAATTCATCATCCACTGAATAGTCCATCCATCAAATCCATATGTCTCTAATTTAAAGAGAAAGATGTGGGTGGACTGTGTCAAAGGCCTCACAGAAGTCCAGATAGATGACATCAGCAGCTCTTCCCTTGTCCACTGATGCAGTCACTTCATCATAGAAGGCTACTAGGTTGGTCAGGCAGGACTTGCCCTTGGTAAAGCCATGCTGGCTGTCTCAGATCACCTCGAGGTCCTCCATGTACCTTAGCACAGCTTCTAGGATGATCCGTTCCACAATCTCCCCAGGCACAGAGGTGAGGCCAACAGGTCATTAGTTCCCAGGGTCTTCCTTTAGGTCCTTTTAGAAGATGGATGCAATGTTTCCCTCTTTCCAGTCACCAGGGTCTTCACCCGACTGCCATGACTTTTCAAATACCATGGAGAGTGGCTTGGCAACTACATCAACCAATTCCCTCAGGACTCTGAGATGCATCTTGTCAGGTCCCATGGACTTATGCACTTGCAGGTTCCTCAGGTGGTCACAAACCAGATGTTCTCTTGCAATGGGAGGGACTTTGCTCCCCCAGTCCCCATCTTGCGGTCCATCCACTCAAGAGGTGTGTGAAGAGAGGCTGCCAGTGAAGACTGAGGCAAAAGAGTTGTTGACTACCTCAGCCTTCTCATCTCGTTCATCACGGGGCAGGGGTGGTACGCTTTCTTATTCTTTCCATCCCTTGCCAAGTTCAGCTCCAGCCATGCCTTGGCCTCCCTGACCCCATCCCTATACAACCAGGGAACATCCCTGTGCTCCTCCCAGGATACCTGTCCCTGCTTCCACTGCCTCTGTATTTCCTTCTTGCCCTTTAGTTTGCCCAGCAGGTCTCAGCTCAGCCATGCCAGTCACTTGCCTTCCTTTCCCAATTTCTTACACCTGGGGACTGAGAATTCTTGCTCTCTATGAAAAGTGTCCTTAAAGACCTGCCAGTTCTGTTCTGCTCCCTTGTCCCTGATGGCAGTTTCCGAGGGGGTCCTACTGACTAACTCCTTGAAAAGCTGCGATTTTGCTTTCCTGAAATTCAGAGTCCTGACTTTACTCATTCCCTCACCCTACATCCCTCAGGACTGCAAACTCCACCAGTGTGTGATCGCTGCAGCCCAGGCTGCCTCCAATCTTGATGTCACCCATTAGCTCATTGTTGAAGCTGAATTAGGTGAGGAGCTTAGTTTGTCTTTATTAATGCCCTGCGTCTCTTACTGCTGCCCTCTCGGTCCATTTAATTCCTGAGCATACAAACCTGCAAAGGGCATAATATCTGCTTAAGCAACAGTGGATTTCTACATGTAGTACCACTAGTCATACCACCTGCATGTGAACTTGAAAAAGGCACCTTGCAGTACAGCATTAGAGTTCCCTCCCCAGCCACACTGCCTGAAGTTGTGCTCCCTGGCTGTTCTTCATTTAGCATTCAATCTGGATATCATCTCTCTTCATACAAGCTGCATTGCATGCTGAAATATTCCTTTAAGAAGTTTAAAAATCCATCCTATTTTATAACAGAAATTGGTGTTTAGTGGGCACCAAACTGTAATTACAATGTTCCTTCAGTGCTTACCTGGTATGCCTGAAAAGCACCGGCTCTGTTTTCAAGCTCAGAACATTTTGCAGTAACAGTGGACAAACTGCATTTTAACTGGTTAATTTCTTCTGACAGAGACTGAAGTAACTGTTCTCTCCTTTCTGCTTCCTTTGTCTTTTCCTGTAGTTGACATTGTAACAAGGAGACTTCACTATTCTTGTTTTTAGATTTAAGCTTGTCTTTCAGGTTTTGAATTTCTTTGTCCTTCTCTCCAAGAAGATGGTTGTATTTTTCTTGTTCTTTTTCAAGGGAAAGTATTTTCTAAATGAAACAGAATAAAAAAGTGACACAAATGAGTAAGTGGCAGTGTATGCAACAAATGCACTAGCAAGTTTCCAACAGTGAGAAGTTACTTTGAAAGGTTGTCTCTTAGCCTTTAATTAGCTGAGAATATTACTTTTTACTCCAACAATACTACAGTGATCATCTGAAATATTTCAAGTGATAGTAAAAACAGTCTGAAGTAGATGAAACAAGGAAAGAATACAAAGAACCACATTTCACAGACTTAGTAGGTACTCAGTTTTGATTATGAACACAGATCACTACAACAGATGAACCTTAGAACAGAAGCAGTACAAGAACTCGTGAACACTTCCAGTGAAGAGGTTGGTGATACATTTCTTAAGGTTAGCCAGCATATTTAGTAGCTTTTGAGAAACAGCAAAGCCTTCTTGCAAACTAAGTTACAGTAAGTGAAGTTACAGAAGAGCTATAGCAAAGCATTCAGGAGAAGGACCCTATTTTCCAAATTATCTGGCCTTTTAGTTTCAGAATGTGCTTTAGTAGATATTTTCAACAGGCACTCTCTTTTCAGTAGGCCTCCAGCACAAGTAATTATTACATAGCATTAGTACTGCATTTGAGATATGTTAGAGCTCTAGGTAAGCTTCTGTTATGATAGCATTTCATTTTCCATGAGAAAGGTTGATGGTGAAACCCTACATGTTGATATTAAGTCATTAGAAGATGACAGGGAAACTGAAAGAAATTGAATTTGAGGCACCCTCATTTAGGAACTGGTTGAAGACCACATGATGCTCACTAGAATTAAAATGTGTATACCAAGCAGTACGTGGTATATCTAAACATGCCTGTGATTTTCCACCTGTTAACTAGGAACCCAATATTAAGTAATTAACAACGAACAAGCAGCAAGCTCCACCAGACACAGCAAATACACTAAAGAATTTAGCAACAACAGTACATGAGCTGTCTAGCCATAGCTGGTACGTGGGTTAGCACTTCTCAACTCATGTTGTAGCACAATATTGACATGTGAAAAGCCTTACTGTCAAAATAAATAGCCTAGAAATATTAGCATGCCTAGTCTCCATTAGCTGTATCCTTTGAAATAGTCCATTTCAAGTTTCACAGTCCTTCTGAGAAGCCTGACAGTATGTGACTTAGTCACACACTGTCTTGAACTTCTTTCTCTGCAACCACACACTTACTTTGAATGGACTACAAGGCATAGAAATTGCATTGTCTTACTTTCTGCTCTTTGGTTGTAATGGAAGAATAATGTGGTGAACTGATTACAGTTTTATTTACCTGTAGCTGAGTGGGAGCTTGAGAATATAGTACAAACACATCCTAAGCAGTTTTTGGCATGTTCTTATGCAACTGTTTGCAAACATAATGTTGTTTGCAGGAAATGCTCAAAATAATTCTCTAGGACCGACTGTTCCAAATACTTGGACATGTGAGGACAGGTCTTACAGAGTAGTTGGCACCTCTGGCCTCAATACAAAAGTCGTTGTATTTAACAGCCTTGCCAGATGATTGTAATTTAATTACTGCAGTCATCATTGAAAAATATTTGAGAACAGAAATGTCAAACAGTTGTGACATCAAGAGAAACTTTCAAGAGGAAAGATTGGCACCTTGCTCACAAAGCCGGACACATTCACACCCGCGTTAAGTGGGCACAGTTAGGACACCACAAACATCCCCCTCACCTCCAGGAGCCCGTTCCTCTCCCGATCAGTCACTCTGCTTTTCCCTTTCGCGACCTCCTCCGCCGAGTTCCTCTGGGCCGCCTTCCCCTGCTTACGCCTCTCGAGATCAGCCTCAGGCCTGGAGCCGCCCGCCTTCAGGCCCCACTTCCCAATAATTATATCTTTGGCGCTCTTGGAATTCATCTTTAAGCAC